GCTCTCTGGGCTTCTTCATAGTGAGACCACAGAAACCATGTTCTTACTATAATTTTAGGTTGCGTGCTGCAGAGTCATGACTGTCAGTCTGGAAGCATAAGGATCTAGAGAAGTTACGAAGTACTAGTCCAAGAGAACATATCATTAAGAAAATGTTATTAGCATAATCATCAAAACATTTTACAAGATATACTCTTCCTAGAATGCGGTGTAGTCTGAGGTAAAACTTTGATGAATAAAACTGCCTCCATTTATTCTGTCTCTCACACCATCTTTTAATGTCACTTTTCAAAGCTGTGAACTAAAGCAGGCCATCACGTTTGGATGTGCACGGCTTGTCTCCACCCTACAGTGAATGGAAGTAGAAGTTCAGCTATTTGTTGTTCATTCTATAAGATAAATTTAGATAGAAGGAGCATTTAAAAAATTAATGGTACAATGTAATTTCTCTGTTTAATTGGTATTAAAATACTCAGACCTTACTTAGGCTGATTTTCAGACTATATAGAGAGAGCAGTGTTTGTTTTGTTGCTTCTTAGATGATTCCTAATGCAACGGTTTGTTGTTATTGAATTCATTTAACAGATTTGTCATGGTGAATAATAAGCACTTGAATTTACTTGGGAGCAATATGTTACAAGATGTATAAAAGCTACAATAAATCATTCATATGTATGAAGCTATTGAAATCAGCAAAGTTAAATTGATAGGAACAGCTTTGTTCTTATTTATTGTAAGCATAATGGGTTCAGAATACAAAAACAATTGCTCAAAATATTCTAAGTGTTTGTATCTGGCAGCTGGCCTGGATGCTTGGTTTCCACCATTGCTGGCACTTGGGAAATGACTATTTGGGGTCCACATCTGTTCTGCTGCTGCAGATGTTTAGATGTTGGAAGTATCCAAGATGAAGAAGAAAGGGTTCCTCGAATGGAAACAAAGACTGCAAGACAGCTTAACCGAGGTTCATGAAGAAGAAAATATGCTGTGAATGGACTCAATACAATATTACTTGAACAGAGACTGTTTTGGCTGAAAGAGCTGCTAGCCAGTGTTAATGCATGTTTAAATCTGTTGCACCCCCATGTTTTTATTCAATTTTATAATGCTTTTTCCCTCAAGTTTATCTACTATTTTCCTATTGATTGGATTCTGCCGCAGTGCAGAATCCCCATATTTGGTCATGTCCTTCCCCCTTTCTCCATATTTGGGTGAAGCTCCTCCCATGCTCTCCCTTTTATGGTTTGTACCCGCCTTCTCTTGCCTTATTTGGAAAGTCTTCGCCCCTAATTCCAGAACCTTCCCTCTCTCCCCTAGAAATGGGGGAGCCATTTTGAATAAACTCAGACATACATTCCTCCTCAAACCCTGTAGGTTGTCATGTGTTTCATTACAAACTGTGACATTTAGACATTCTTGAACACACACCCATACTTAGACATTCAATCCATTCAGCAGCTGGCCCTTGGATCCTCTCAGCTCTGGCTGCTTTACACACAACAGACAGCACATGCAGATGGGTCTCTCAGTCGACCCCCAAGCTCCACAATACTTGGATCTTCTGATCCCTTCAACAGGTGATTTGAAGACGCTCTGGTCACACCAGTATCTGGCATAGACTTACAGCCTCCTTGACGCCTGCCTCCCATGCTGTTTGCAGAGAAGTCTGCGTGAATGGTCACTGAGAATCACACACATGTATATCCATATGTACCTGTGCAACATGCACACACCCTGCAACACAGGTTTGTTCTGTTCAACGTCCTCAGTCACAGTCTCTCACCTGCCCCCGCTGGGATACCTGTAGAATCATGGCTTTCTGTGAGACATGCGTTCAGGATTGCCTTGAGAGTGAGTCAGTATGTTAGCAGAGGGTGAGAGGAAGAGATGGGAGTGAATGTACACACATGTTGTCAGAAGGTGCACAAACTGACCTTGGAATTCCAAAGCTCTCCTAAGTCCTATTCTCACTTGTGTGTAGAACAAGTACAACAGAATAGAACTAAAAGAATATAACTAGCAGAATAACTAACAGAATAAAATCTAAAAGAAGTCAGGTAAGTAAGCACAACTTTTCTGGAAAAGTAGAAAAAGAGCATACAAAGAATCCAAAAAACAACAGCAATTCAAATGCAATCTACTGTATTGCATTGTTTGTAATTCCATTCCAAATATGATTTTAAATAATCACAAGACTATATTATAAAGACAGGTAGGTCCCTTAAAGGGAGTGAGGATGTTGCTGGGCAGAGAGAGGTAGCCTGTCTAATCCAAGTGAACCATGACAGAGTTTAGACACACAAGAACTTTCTGCAGATCGCCACTCTTGTGGCCAGCCAGTGCTCCACAATGTTGTTCTGAGCATCAGATGAAGCTGAGATGAAATGATATTTAATTTATGGCCTGTATGTTGCCATGTTCAACTCTTTAATTCCATTAAAATACAGAAAGTTACAGATTTAAACAGAAATTAAAAATTATAATTAACACTTTTGAAACAAAGCCCAGCTAACAGCCTGTTGAGAGAGACTGTCCCGCTCTGCTCTGCACTGGTGCAGTCTCACTTAGAGTCCTGCATGCAGTCTTGGGTGCTACAGCATTAAGAAAGACATTAAGCTTTTAGAGAGCATCGAAAGGAGGGACAAGAAGATGGTAAAGGGCCTTGAGAGGAAGCCATATGAGGAGCAGCTGTGGTCACTTGGTCTATTCAGCCAGGAGGAGACTTAGAGGAGACCTCATTGTAGTCTACAAGTTCCTCGTAAGGGGAAATGAAGGGACTTCTCTCAGGTGACTAGCGGCAGGACCGAAAGAAATGGCATGAAGCTGTGTCTTAGGAGGTTTAGGTTGGATTTTATGGTAAGGTTCGTCACCTAGAGGGTGGTCAGGCACCGGAACAGGCTTCCCAGGGAAATGGTCAAGACACCAAGCCTGACAGAGTTCAATAAGTGTCTGGACAACGTTCTCAGACACATGGTGTGATTTTTGGGGTTGTCCTGTGCAGGGCCAGGAACTTGACTTGATGATCCCAGTGGGTTCCTTCCAGTTCAGGATACTCTGAGTCCTCTCTGCTCTCAAGAGAAACCAATTTTCCCAACGTGCTGCTGGCCGGGAGTCACACACCAAAAACCTTCAAATATCTTTACAGCACCCTTGAGACACATGGAGACCTATCCTGACGTTCACAAAGGCATTTAATCTTTGCCTTGAAGAACCCTCCTGGCTCTTTTTTTACCACTGAACCCTCCAGACTCCCACCTTACCAAACAACGCCGCCAATCTCTCCCCGTCCACCGCCCTGCCCGCCCGCTCTCCATGGCGCCGCTCCCGCCCCTTCCAGAGCGTCTGGGAAGCGGCGGAGTGGATGGTGGGGCGGGCAGTGGGGCCCTGTGCCGGGGGCTCCGCGGGACAGGCCGACAGGTATCGGCGCTCGGCGGGGCGCGGGGGTCCCCCGGGCATGGGACTCCCCCGACCGCGCCGGGGAGGGGGCGGTGGGAGGGGGCGGGACGGGGCCCCGTCCTGCGCCCTCGGCTTGTGCCGGCCCGGCCCTTCCTGGCCGGCCGCTGCCCTCGGCGGCTCCGCCGGTCACTCTCCGCCCCGGCAGACGCTTCTGTGAGTCAGTGTTAAACTAACATCGCAGAACAGTGCTGGAAGACACCGCTAGTGGAGGTGTTGGCTGGGAATAACACCTGCTCGAAAGCAAAACAGAAGAACTGATGGAGTGTGCTAAACGCTCTGACTGATTGTCATTAAATGTTTTAGCCTTCTGTGCGTCTGAGGATGTGATATTTGGGATGTCTCGGCAGGCTGCTGCAATAGAGAAGAGTACTTGGCTATGTAAGATCACTTATATGCTTATTACTTTACTATTTAATATAACTGATGTAAAATGATTATGAAGAGTAGTAGTAGTCATTAGAATGAGAACCTGTGCACTAGCAGTGAATGCAACTCTTGTTTCTACTTTTGGAGGAAAGGATACTATGCAAATGAGTTTTAAGTACAACTGGCTGCCAAAAATGTTGCATTTAAATAAAATACCCATTTAGTTTCTTAGTGATACTTTTTCTTCTTGATTTTTTTTTCAGTATCCCAAGTGTGACCATAAAATATGATTCTTTGCCTGCTGCACCAAACTCCTGAGTACTTCTTTTGCCATTTGGTCTCGTGGTTTCAACTACAATGGTAAGTTATGATTCGGATAATGTATTTTCAGATTCTTTTGCTCCTCATCAGTATCCTGGCTGATGAGGAGAATACCATCACATTTCACATTGAAAAGCGTTTCACATTTTCTTTAAAAAAATTATTTTGTATGTCACTTCTGAGCTCTGACATTCCTTTTTCCAGGGATGTGTTCCTTCATAGCCTGTGAATGCTTCTAAACACTTAGTCACTGGCCAGTGCATCATAGGAATTGCTATATAAAGCTAATGGTGGGATTTCAGTCACAACTGATGGTAGACAGTTGGGTGCATATAAATCCTGCTTCCACGTAGTATTCTGTTGACTGATGCTAATATTGATTTGGATTGTTACCTAATGTTAAGCAGTCAGTGAATTGAGTATCTGAAATCATGCAGTTATCCACTAGACTTAAATAGAAAGCATGAGTGTTAGACATTTTCATAAAAACACCTAGACACTTGAAAATTTACATATTCTGTAGTGATGGATTCTAACAAATAATAGCACTTAAAGTAGGTGTTTTTTTCAGGAACAGGTAAGAAATTTTGTGTTAGGTACATTGTACGTTAATGGTGAAAAGCCTGAGTGGTTTTGTTGTATATTTCTTTGTTGTTACTTTGTTGTTGTGTAATGTTTTTCTTCCTTGAATTCTATTATAATGAAATATGAAATATTCACTATCAGTGAAATAACTGATGCTACCTTGAAGTGGATGTGGCTCATGTGCCTTCTGTTCCTTGACATTCAAGTAAAGGTATTTGCTTTCATGAACAGCTGATAGGGATGGTTTAAACTGAGGAAATAACACAAATGTCTATGTTTCTAAGCTTTACTGAATATTAGAGCTTGTTACAATACATTCCTAGGGGCTTTATCCACCTGCCCCTGAAATTAATGCATTGCTTCTCCGGACTTCCTTTGTAAAGGTAGTATTGGTAATTGTTTATTTAGTATAAAAGGTTTGTGAACACTGTAACAAATACAATTTTTACAAATCCATTTTTGAAAAGATCTCTCATTTTGTTCACTTGGGCACTGTACTTTTTATTACTTTGTCAATCAGCTTCTTTACTTCTTTGTGTCTTGTAATTGCTCTGGTGATATAGTCCTGAAGCTTGGCTTCTGTAAAAGGAATTCCACCTAAAAATTAAAGGAAACAATTTGATTTTCTACTTATACTTCAGTTATGTATCTCTAAATGTGATTTCCGAATAAGAGTATTAATACAGTAATTTTTATGACTAACACCTTTCACCTGGGGAGCATGCAGCTTTCCCAGCTCCAGCCTCAGGCAAAGATAATGGAAACAAACTAGAGCTGTAACAGGAAACATGCTCAAAATCTGTCCTCTGCTGTATGAGGTCAAGCTGTGACTTCTTTTTGAATTTCAGTCATGCCACCATCTTAAAAACTAATTTCAAGAGAAAGTAATTTAATGAGTATTTGAGCAGATGCTCTGTTACTATAAAGCACCCAAATCTTACAAAACAAAGGAGGTACACAGTCTTTTCTTGACCTAAACGTTATCATCTCCATACGTTTCTTTGTAATAAATTTGGAAGTACCTGGCTTATGGACAGAACAGAGTCTGCCTACTTCATCAGACAATGGTTACTGTTCCAGTTGCTAAATCATCTTCTTCAGCAGTTGGATCAACAACGAGTAATGTGCTTGTGAAAGGAAAATGCATGCAGACATGTTTGTACGTATTGCTCCATTACCATTATTGCAAAATACACATAACATTAATTTTTACTGTAGTCTTACAAAATACTTGTAGATGGATTTAGTGCCCAGGCTTACCTGTTTTCTTACCAAAGTGCACCAATTTTAAAAAAAATTAAAAAGTAAAAAAATACGGGAGATTCCACATAATCAAGTGTTTATGTCTATTGAAAATGCAGCTTTATGCCTGAAGTTTCCTAGATATGTGACATTCACGTATTGCAGGAAAATGCCACTAAACTGCCATTTGAAGGATGCAGTCACTTATTTTGTAGTTACACAAAAACTGGCACAGGATGTAGGCTGCACTAATCTCTACCAGACACCTTAATGCAAAACTCATTTCCAATAGTAAGTTCACCAAAGTAGTTCTCAGTTTCTTGTCAGAGAACTCTAATATCACCCAGTCTGGGAATAGTTAAAAAAATGGATTTATGGGGTGTTTGACATCCAGTATAAACTGTTATACATCACGATGCATATCTTTGAGAGATTAAATACTGTTATTTTTGAACCATTTAAGTTAAAATAGAGCAAAATCAATGGGAAATCTATAGGATCTAAACTATAGGCCAACTTTGCTCAACAAGAAAAACTAGAACTTAAAGCTGAATTTTAACACCTCGGATTGCCATTTAATAGCAATAGTAACAAAAACAAAAGTCCTTAGCTACTCTGTTCAAAAATGCTGCTTTTTAAAGTCTAACCCCATGCACTGTGACACATCAGCTCTTTGTGTGATGCAGGGACACATGAAGAGGTCAATGTATCAATTGAACCTGCAGAGGAAAAGTACCGTTCAATAAAATCTATTTTTCATTCAAAGAGCATTAATTAACACCTACCTTCACAAAGTGTTAACTTTCCATCATTTTATACTAAACAGAGCCTAAGCAATGTCTCAAGTCCAGAGTGGGATGGAATCTCTACATTAAACAGTTAATCACACAGAATGGCTGAGGCTGGGACAGCTGAAGCTCTTCTGGCTCAACGCCCCTACTCAAGGAGGACCACCCTAGAGCTGGTTGCCCAGAACTGTACTCAGATGGCTTTTGATTATCTCCAAGGAAGGAAACTTCACAACTTCTCTGGCCAACCTGTGCCAGTGCTCCATCACTCTCACAGTAAAAAAGTGTTTCATCATGTTCAGAGGGAACCTTCTGTGTTTCAGCTTGTGCCCACTGACTCATGTTCTGTCACTGGTTATTAATGAATAGAACCTGGCTTTGTCTTTCCCACACCCTCCCTTCAGGAATTTCTATACACTGCCTGGCATTGGACACAATACTCCAGGTGTGGCCTCACCAGTGCTGAGCAGAGAGCAGGATCACCTCCCTTGAGCTGCTGGCAATGCCATGCCTAATGCAGCCCAGGATAACATTGGCTTCTTTGCAGCAAGGGCACATTGCTGGCTCATTCTGCCTCTGCTCGAGGCAGTTGCCCACCAAGCTCAGAACACAGCAGAAGCCAGGACTCACTGTCCCTCCCACGATGCTTGGGCATCAATTTTGTGCTGGTCAGCATATGCCTTGATGCTGCCTTCAGCATCTGTAACAGATACTGCTCACCTTAGACAGAGACAAGATTCCACAGCCACTTAAACTGTGCTGCATATACCCAGACAGGAGCAGACCCGAGTAATTACACTGTGCACATCAGCCTAGGATCAGGACTGAAAACAATGTTAAAGTATATTACTGTACTATGCATTCTCTTTCATGCTTGCTGAAAGAGTAAATAAAAATCCTTTCTCTTCCTTGTTTCAAAGCAAGGACCAAGAAAACCAATTAGGAAGTCATTAAGGTCACTGTTATAACCTGATATTAATAACACCTCTCCCATTATTATTATTCCAAATAAGCACTTGCTTATGTTGACAGTGGTTGCCCAGAATTCACCTAACTCTCTTCCATCAGGTCGACAGTTCTCTTTCTAACCAAAAATTACAAAGCTCAAATTAGAAAACATGTTTTATTAAATAATACAGTAATATTTATGCTATTGGAGTTGATATAAAACAATATTCTCTTCTTTTTAGCAGAAATACGCAGCCTCAAAAATGCTAGGGAAAACTTGGTCACAACTCTACCTGGTTTTTCATCAACTGATATGTAGTTTGTGGTTGTAGACCTGCAAAAAAATCCCTGATTTTTAAATTTTATTATAATTTATTTAGAAAATATAACAATAGATTGATTGTCTCAAAGATAAGTACTACAGGCTAGATTCAGAATATCATCCAAGAATGAATACTCATTGGTAACTTAAAATGAGAATTTCCATCTGTCTGTATTGTTCAGGTTTCATAGGCAATTCCCCTCCTCCATCCCCACCTAGTGGAGCTCTTAAAATTAATGTTACAGTAAACTAAAGCAAAACAACCCCTAAAACCACGTAACGTTCAAATACCATCAGGCAGAGGCTGTACAACACGTGACCCTTAAGTTAGAAACTGAAACAATACTGCATCGTGTTAGATCTGAAGAACCACAAGAAAGAAAAAATTCATTATAAGCAATTTATACAGGCATCTCATGTTTTACTCACCAAAAACCTTCTGTAATATTCCAGTGGTTCCAGAGTTCTAAAACAAATTGAAAGAGAAGTTCACATGCAAGCTCTTGAGTAGGCAAGAGATAGCAAAAAAAAGATAAGCAAGCACTAACCCACAACAACAAATAATTTGAGAATCAAGATGCCTGGCAAAGCTGCTTAGCAATATGGTTACAGAAAGATGAGGAAACTCTGAACTGATCTAAGATGTTTTCCTATATTCAGTTCCAAAATTCCGCCTCCTTACAAGGAACCTGCCTGCACATGTACCTAACAAAAACTACTAGCTTTCACCTCAATAATATTAGTTATAAATCAAAAGAAGTGTTTACTGACAGAAAGGTGTAGAATGGTTTACAAAAAACGCAGAAAGCATAATGGTATAACTGTGTCTGAAATATCTGTTAGTTCAAGGATTGCATTCAGATGGACAAAATGGCATAAAACAATTTTAAATGCTACAGTTTTTCTTAGAATCTTTGAGATAATATAAAATTACAAAATATGCTTCGTGCAGTGCTTCAGAAATAATTAACGCTTATTATTAATTACATACTACTAACAGTGTTCGTGTATTAGTATTTCAAGTAGGGATCAATAACTTAAAAAAAAATCCCACCTTTTTTTTATAAAACTGTTGTTAATACCTAAACAAAGCATTCACAGTTTTGTTAAAATAGTGCTTCTGGAGGAAAAACCAAAGATAAATGGGAATAGCAGGTTTTCCAAATGCAAACTAACATACAGAGATATCAAACATAATGGCAAGCATGATTTAGCTGCTGCTGGCTCCACATATGTTGGTCCTGTACTGGTTTTCTGAAGCCCGACGCAAGGCCTGTTCTCTTCCAATTCATGTAAAAGCACTTTGCTAAACACTGCTTCATGCACTTAAGACATAAACATAGAAGCAAGAATACTAGAAGAGGTTGCCCAGAGAAGCTGTGGATGCTTCACCCCGGGAAGTGTTCAAGGCAAAGTTGGATGGGGCTCTGAGCAACCTGGTCTAGTGGAAGGTGCCCCTGCCCACGGCAGTGGGGTTGGAATGAGACAACCTGTGAAAACCCCCTCTGACCCAATTCATTTTACTATTCTAAAACGAGAAGTTACAAATGAGAAGCCAGTGAATTCCCTTTTTTAACCTCCTTGTAATGCTATCAGCTGTGTCAGGGGAGGTTTAAGGTGGATATCAGGAAAAGGTTCTTCACCCTTTGGCGGCTGGGTGCTGGAAAAGGCTCCCCACGGAAATTGTCACAGCACCAAGCCTGACAGAGTCCAAGAAGGTTTGGACAATGCTTTCAGGCACGTGGTGTGACTCTTGGGTGTCCTGCGCAGGGCCAGGACTTGGACTCTGTGATCCCTGTGGATCCAACTCGCGATATTCTGCGATTCTGTAACACCAGGTACCTTCAGGCCACACCCAGCTCCGCGCTTTGCCGAGCCTTTTCCCGGGTGGACAACCCGTGCTCGCTCAGTACCCCCCCGCACACGTCGGGGCTCCGCAGCCTCCTCAGCACCGACCCCATCCCGGGGGCCGCGCCGAGCCCGCTCCCCCCGCGCGCGCGGTGGCGCGGGGAGCCCGGGCGGCCCCGCGGGGCCCGGGCGGCGCTGCTGCGATCGAGCGGAACGCCCGGAGCGGGAGAAGCGGGACCGGAGCCGCCAGGCCCAGCACTTACTTGAAGGCGGCCGCCATGGCGGCACCGCCGCCGCCCCGGATGTGGCGCCCCCTGGCGGCGAGCCCGCCCGGCGGGCTCTGCGGGCGGACCGGCGCTGGCGGCGGGGGTCGGGGTGGCGGCGCTGTCGGGGCCCGGCCGTGAGGGGGCGCCAGCGGCTCCCGGCGAGGCGGCCGCTTCCGCCTCGCTACCGCCGCGCGACCGGGTCCCGCGCGCCGCCGCGGGCGATGGCGCTGCCGTTGCAGCCGCCCCTGCCCCTGCCCCTGTCCCTGTCCCTGCCCGCGGCCGCGGCGGCGCTGGTGGCCCTCGCCGCCCTCCTCCTCGTCCTGGTGAGAGCCGCGCAGCGCGGTCACGGCGGGCCCGGGGGCTTCCGTGGCGGGGGCGGTGCGCGGGGCGGCCCCCGCGGTGCAGAGCCGGGGCGCTGTCCGCGGATCCTGTCCTTGCCGGGGGGTTCCGGGGGGGCTGCGGCGGGCCCAGGCAGGGCTGGCCCAGGCAGGGCTGGCCCAGGCTGGGGGCAGCGCGGGTGGCACCAGGAGCCGTCCGGGCAGCAGCCGGCGGGGCTGCGCTGGTGCGGGGGTTGGGGCGAGCAAGGCGTCCGGGGACCTGCGGAGGGGGTAAAGACGCCTTGGGAAGTGTCCTGGTAAGGCCCGTTCGCGGTAACCGTTTGGGAGGTCGCTGTGTCTCTGCCTGGCTGAAATACCCGGCAAGTTGCAGAAGTCGGACACCCTAGAAGGCGGAATTCTGCTGCCTGTCCGCAGTGCCACGTATGCCTCCCGCCCGGGGAGATGGTGGAGCCACCGTCCCTGGAGGTGTTTAAGGAAAGACTGGACGTGGCACTCAGTGCCGTGGTCTAATTAGGTGTTCGGTCTCGATGTTGGACTCGATGATCTCAGAGGTCTTTTCCAACCTAATTGATTCTGTGATTCTCTTCGTGGTGTCACCAAATTAAGTGCTCCAAACTGCAAGTTCTGTGTCTTCATTTTAGCCATTCATAAGGCCATCAGAGCCTCTGTTTTGCAAGCACCTGTGGCTGGCTGGTCGGGAGCCATGCCATTGATTTCAGTGGGGCAGGGTGGGATCAGAGGCAGCACCAGCATGTGTGCTCTGGATTACTTGGGAACAGGCAGTGGGGGCTTGGACCACGACTTTGGAGGCATCTGCATGCTTTACAGTCGAAGATAGCAACAAGCCAGTGATGCTGACAGTGGTCAGACTAGGAGTAACCAAATGGCATGAGACGATTTTGGTCCTCTCTGATTCAGTCAGTGGATGAAGTTCCACACCACTGACCCACCGCATTATTGAAAAACAGTTGGTTGCCCTTTGTAGCACATTCAGCAGCTCGGTCAACTTCTAAGAGAATGCTCAACAATTTTTCTTATTTCTTTTTCATCACAGATTTGTGCAATTGCTCATGTAACTGCCAAAAAAATGCCAACCCTTCACCGACACGAAGAAGAGAAATTCTTCGTAAACGCTGAAGGCAGGAAAGAACCTCTACCAAGTGTACATGATCCCCCTACAAGGGAACTCTCTGTTGTTGTGCCTTCATACAATGAGGAAGACCGGTGTAAGATTTTTCTTGTTTTGAGGAAAAGAAGAAAATCTGTCTGTTGTTACTGTAATAATGCAGAGGTCAGTTATGTTTGGGGTAGATTCTGGCAGGCTAGATTATGGATCAGATTTTGGACATGGTTTCCAGAAAACAGTCCAAGTACATTGAATTTCAAAATTAAGGCATTGTGTAACTTGATTTCTGCTGCTAAAAATAGCATGGGGCACTTATAAGAATCCTCTCTATTTTAGTGAACCCCAGAAGAATGGTTGTTCATTGCTTCTGTAAATGCCGCAAGGCAAGAAGTAAAAAAAGACTTTTAAAACTGATTTGAGAGCTTCCCACTCTTTAAACAACATCAACTTCAGATGAGCAGAGAAAGAATGATCTCTCACGTTTGCGTTTGACTTGGCGATAGATACGAGTACCTGATACTGAGGAAAGGCTTTCAGATGTGATAGAAATAATCAAACATGGTAGTACAGAAGCTGTCAGCTTGCTTAAATAGATAAAGTCAGTGCTGGTTTTCAGGCTCGATCATGAAGAATGATTTCTTTTTCTTTTAATCTTGTGTAGAGAATTACAAATTTCAAAATGAAAAGTTGGTTCCTCAGAAGAAATGTTTTTATCCTGTCTTTTATCATGTATGTGATTTTCTTCAGTGTTCTTTTTGCATTCAGAAAGGACAGCACTTAGAGTTGCAGCTGCTAAGCTTGTTTGCTGAAGGTAGTGTTGTATGAAAGAGTCGATTTGCTCAGCTTTGCTTTGTGGTTGTTCTCAGCTTGCTTGTGCAATTGCTTTTGGTGCTTTGCCTGTTGTAATCTACTAACCTGACCTCCTCCGCCTTTTCTCTAGTACCTCTTATGATGGATGAAGCTTTGGATTATCTAGAAAAAAGACAGGTATTTTCTTTTTGCATTCAATATTTTTTTGGTGTGTGTATTATGTATAATAAGTTAGTGTACATTAAACAGTAACACTTGGCCACTTAGAAGTAACGCTTAGGTCTCTTAGTTATTTTTAGATCAAGTGCCAAAAAGTATTTTTAAATTAAGTAAACATTTAATATACTGCTACGGGATGAAGAAATCTTCATGTGAATGTTACCCTTCCAAGACAAAGCTAAGGATTAGCCATACATTTAACTTTCTAAACTAAATCCTAGTTTGTTTCAACAAGTTTCATAAGTATCCGTTCTTCATTTTGGTTTGTTCTCTGGGTAGGAAGCCCATTGTGAAAGTTTGTGGATGTTGTTCTGTTTGGGTTTTCTTAACAGTGATGATGTTCTGAGTGTTCCATCTTTTACAACTGAATTGATTTTTTGATTTCCGGATGGTAGCATGACAACCCAATGTAATGGTATGTTCATCAAATGTGGCAAAATTCTTTAATTATGCCATGTGAACAAATTAACTATATCATGTTAGTGCAACCATAAATAATTTAAAACCTGCTAGGGAGAAAAGAATAATGATGTTTGAAAGACCTACTGCCTACTTAAGAAATTGGATTAAATGTATTATTTCTGTTTTCATTTTCAAGAAACGAGATCCTTCATTCACTTATGAAGTGATAGTGGTTAATGATGGTAGTAAAGATCAAACTACAAAGGTAAGAAAAATGAAGTGCCTTCCCAAGCATCGGGGGTGTCGTTTTTTTTGCTACATTTGTGGAATATAACAATTTTTCGCATTTATATTTTGGTACTTGAATAGTTGACAATTGAAGTTCATATTTCTGAGTACTTTCTGTCGTTCTGTATGCATCACGGATGTCACATATGCATATGAATACACATAATTCTTTTGCAAATTCTGGTTTTCTTGATTGATGACTGTGACAGCCGTTTTCCTGCAACTGCGATTCTCAGAATTCTAATCCTAACGTCAAGAAATTTCTTATGAAATACTCTATATATGCATAGTGATGATGTGAATATGAACTTTAGAAAGCTAAAAAGTCTTTTAAAATACTCAATTCATACTGTGATTGAGAGAACATCTGACATAGTTCTTCCTCACACCCTTCATGGCATTGTTTATTTAAAAATCCCTGTGCCAGTAGTAGTATTTTCAAAATAGTTTTGTATTCTTCTGGTTTGACTTTGATGTACGTCACTGGAAAGGAAGGCTTGCTGACTTGAGGGCTTTTCTTACTATTACTGCTTGGAAGATGTTTGAGGTAGCTACTAAAATGCGTACTGCTTTTTGATTTACTTTCCTTAAGCTCGTCCGTTAAGGATTGCTCGTAAATATTT